AAATCAAAAAGCACAATGAGATATCACTTAACTCCAGTGAGAATGGCTTTTATCAAAAAGTTCCAGGCAGGGGGGAGGGGGGAGGAGGGGACGGGTATATACATACACAAAGAGTGCAATGCGCACCACCCAAAGAATGGACATATTTGAAACTTGGACTTAGAGGGGGAGGGGGGGCAAGGGCAACATACGTAACCTAAACATCTATACCTCCATAATATGCTGAAATAAAAAAGAAAAGAAAAAAAAAGTTCCAAAACAATAAATGTTGGCATGGATGTGGAGAGATAGGAACACTCCTACACTGCTGGTGGGACTGAAAACTAGTACAACCTCTGTGGAAAGTTACATGGAGATACCTCAAAGAGATACAAGTAGATCTATCATTTGATCCAGCAATCCCATTATTGGGCATTTACCCAAAGGAAAAAAAAGATATTATGCAAAAAAGACATTTGCACTTGAATGTTTATAGCAGTACAATTCACAATTGCAAAGATGTCAAAAGAACCCAAGTGCTCATCAATACATGAGTGGATTAATAAAATGTGGTACATGTATACCATGGAGCACTACTCAGCCATGAAAAACAGTGGTGATAAAGCACATCTTGTATTATCCTGGATAGAGTAGGAGCCCATTTCTGCTAAGTATCACAAGAATGGAAAAACAAGCACTACACGTACTCACCATCAAACTTGTATTAACTGATCAACACTTATGTGCACATATAGTAGTAACATTCACTGGGTATCAGGCATGTGGCGGGGAAGAAGGGATGGGTATCTTCACACTTAATGGGTGTGGTGTATACTGTTTGGGGGATGGACATTCTTGAAGCTCTGACTGGCGTGGGGCGAAGGCAATATAAACATTTGTACCCCTATCATATGCTGAAATAAAAAAAAAGATTGCAGATGACACAAACAAACGGAAAAACATGTTATGCTCATGGATTGGTAGAATCAACATTGTTAAAATATACCTACTGCCCAAAGAGACTTACAAATTCAACACAATTCCCATCAAAATACCAACATCCGATTTCACAGATCTAGAAAAAATAATTCTACACTTTGGAACCAAAAATGAGACCAAATAGCCAAAGCAATCTTAGGAAAAAAGAACAAATCTGGAGGCATCACATTATCAGACTTTAAACTGTACTACAAGACTGTAGTAACCGAAACAACATGGATTGGAACAAAAATAGAGACACAAACCAATGGAACAGAGCACAGAACCCACATATAAACCCACCTATGTACAATGAAGTGATCTTTCACAAAGCAGGCAACAACATACTCCAGAGAAAAGCAGCCCTTTTCAGTAAATGGTGCTGGGGACATTGGATAGCCACATGCAAGGAAATGAAACAGGACCCCTATTCTCTCACCACATGCAAAAATTAATTCGAAATGGATAACAGACTTAAATGTAAGGTATGAAACCCAGAAGAAAATGTAGGGAAAACTCTTCTAGATATTGGCTTAGGGAAAGAATCTGTGATTAAGACCCCAAAGGCAATTACAGCAATAACACAAATAAATAAATGAGACTTAATTAAATTAAAAAGCTTCTTCACAGCAAAGGAAATAATCAACAAAGCAAATAGACAACCTACAAAATGGGAGAAAATATTTGCAAACTATACATCTGATAAAGGGCTAATATCCAGAATCTACAAAGAATTCAAACAAATCAGCAAGAAAAAAACAACCAACTGCATTAAAAAGTGGGCAAAAAACACAAACAGAAGCTTTTCAAAAGAAGACAGACAAATGACCAACAACCATATGAAAAACTGCTCAACATCA